ACTTTGAACTTTTAGTGTTGAAACCGTTAAAGACTATGGGGCTTTTAAAGTTGTATTGAATGCATTTTGTGTTGAGATGGCCATGAGCCTAGGGGGACCAGGGGTGGTAGCTTATGACTTAAAAGTAATATGTTTAGGTGTCATGTTGTCAGGGGATAAACTTTTGATGATTAATATTGATTGTGAAACCTACAGGATCTAGAATCACTGAAGAGACATGCCTCTGGGAATGCCTGTGAGGTATTATCTAGAATGTGTTAGCCTCTGAAAATGTCTGTGAGGTACTATCTAGATTCGATTACTTGAACTGGAAAGACTCACTCTAAATGTGGGCAGTGCTATTCCTTTGGCTGTAGTTCTGGACTGAATAAAAATGAAAACGCAAACCAAGCACAAGCATTGATTGCCCTGCTTCCTGACTGTGGATTCGGTGTGACAAGCTGCTTTCTTCTCTTGCCATCATACCCCCTTGCCATGTTGGATTGCAGCTCCTGGATCTGTAAACCAGAATAAAGCCTTCCTTCCTTTAAAAAAAAAAAAAGCACTGGCTGCTATTGCAGAGGACCTGGGTTCGATTTCCAGCACCACATGACAGTTAACAACTGTCTGTTACTCCAGTTCCAGGGGAATTTGACACTGTTTTCTGACCTATGTAGGCATTGCACTGCACAGGTACAGTTACGTACATTCAGGTGGTACATTCATCCACATGAAAAATAAAATGTTAAAAACTTATAAATTTTTTATGGTTGAGTGTTTTACTTCCATGTATGTAAGTGCACCTCCTGTGGAGGCCAGAAGAGGACATTGGATCCCCTGGAACTGGAGTTACAGGTGGTTGTTAGCCACCATGTGGGTGCTAGGAACTGAACTCAGGTCCTCTGCAAGAGTAACCAGTTTTCTTAACCATCGAGTCATCTCTCTAGCCCCCATATTTGTGGCTTGATAACATTTATTGACATTACACTTACAGTGTGCTTAAATCCTCATCACTGAATATACAATGGAAGAAATAAAGGATATTTTACTAGAACTCCATTCCTGTTAGAACAAATCATTTTTACAGGAATGAAATAGTATTGCCAGTTAAAAGCAGAACTTTATCCTTTACTAAAAGACCAATTAGAAGTTGAATTTACAGGATGAAACTTTGAATAGGTTATCTAGAAAGAAATTACTTATGTAGAAAGAGGAGCCTAGCTTACAGCTGGGAAGTGGATGTAGATAGCCTTTCTCGACTCTCACTCCAAAGATGTCATAAGGGTACAGAACTTCTCAGTGTTGACAGACAGCCTGGAAGAGATCAAAGCAGTTCATCTTCTGGGCTAGAAGAGTTCTCCTGTGGCTCCTACTGGGGCCTGGGGGACTAGCTTCTAAGAAAGCCTGGTGCCAGGTCCTGTCCTTGGAGGAATGAAACAAAACAAAACAAAACAAAGGATAATTCCATATGTCTTCATAAGAGCAGAAAATGTATATATAATTTTCTGCAGGACCACCAGAAAATAAATAAAATCACCGTGAAAAGCTTCCATAGTATTTATAATAAGCTTATTATAAGTTTATTGATAATGAACTTGTCAGCTAATATATGTTTTTTCCTGTGATATATACAAAATAACAGCATTTTTACTTTTTTGCAGCAAAATCAAGGCAAATGCCCTGCCCAGAACTGTTCAGTGGAAACTCCTGCTTGGATGCCCGTCCACCACTGTCCTGTAAGTTTGATTGTTCAAGACTGGTGGGACAGAAGGAGGAATATTATTATTATTATTAATATTATTATTATTTATTTATTTTCGAACAACATTATTGGAATGAGCTAGAATGTGGTCTGAAATTCTGGAGTAGATAAGACATTTTGGAAGCTAAACAATGTCTTTTAAAAAAGAACTTTGTATTATAAGAAGTAAATGTGATTAGAGGATCCATGTATTTTTTGAGTCCAGAAAACTTGCAAAAGGTTTCTGTAAATGGAATATTGATGAGTTACATTTGGATGGTCATTAAAATAAATGTATTTGTGCATGTATTTTCTGAACAGCTGCATATTCAGCAGTATTTGATTTTAGATGCCTTTGAGAAGATGCTCTTTCTATCATTGTTTTGTTGACTGCTTAATCGTGATGAGTAAATGGACTTGCAATTTCCAAGTCTTCCTGGTGTAATAATAGTCTTTGCATTTGTGTGGAATCTTCTATCAGAGTATCTTCAAGTGCTTTGGAAATAAACAGGTACTATGTTATTATCCTTGGGTTGTAGATAGAAGACTTAAATACACAGGAAGTAAGAATAGCACATCAATCGAAGGGCTGGTAATGGATGCCAGATATGCTACCTCTCCTTTCATGTTCCTGCTCTATTGCACTGTGCAGCCAAGATAATGGGAGAAGGAGCTGATTTGTGTGATGCTCTGGTATATATGCATTAATGACTAGAGATGACAGTGGTTCCTTGGGGAACTATCTTTGCTATAACTAACAGTTTGTCTCTCAGGAAACAATGTTTGAGATAGGGGCAAGAAATTGCAAAGTCTCTTTAGGACATTTCCCTCATTTGACCTCCCTACAGGTAATTTAATAGTAATGTGTAGAACATCTTGAATACCTATATCTAATCTCAAGGCACAAGCTGCTGAAAGATGCTGCTGGGTTACCATGGTGTGACATTAAACTGTGTTGTATGAGGAGGTTTTCTGGTGAGATTTGAGAAATGGATCTATAAGTATTCTGTCTACACCCTGTTCCACTGTGTCCCATGAACCTTAGGTGTAGAGGCACACAGAAGGCCACAACTGACTAAGCTTTAGAGAACAAGAGACTGCAGAGTACATGCCCCTGGATAGAACTTGTATATTAAAGTTCACAAACCCACTACTCAGAGACTATTGCAGAAGAGGGGATAGAAAGATTGTAAGAGCCAGAGTTGGTACATGAAGATAAGAAAACTGAGGCTTTCAGGCCACTGGGAACTTGCTCATATGAACTTGTAGCAATGGTAACAGCATGCACAAAATCCATGCCGTTTCAGTCAGACAAAACCCAAACATAGAATGAGGGAAATGGGCAGCAGGTCCAAACCCTAGCCAAAGAACTATTGTCAACTGAAAACTACTAGGTGAGGGAAAGTAGATCATCTTTAAGAGGCTGATTCTAGATAGGCTGACTAGACACCAGCCTTGCACTGAGGAACATCTGTGTATAAATGCTTGACCTAATAGGACTTAACATATATGACAGAATGCATGAAATCCAGTGGGGAGAAGTATAGGTGTGTGTGGATTGGGGTCTAAATTTGATTAAGAACTATTATATGAAATGCATAAAAACTCAATAAAATATTAGGAAAAAACTGTTGTAAAGATAGTCGACCTGGGAGAGGCTATTTCCATTCAGATCACATAAGACATGGAGCTTCTTTCCTTTGTTTGTCTGTAGAAGGAGAAGGTGGAATCACCTTTAGTGAAGGAGATGTTGCTGCTAAATTTTGGAGAGATTCCTGCAGTGCAGAGGCAGTTGCCAGAGAGTTAAAGAATAAAAATGTCACATTTTTTTTTTTGCAAGCAGATGGCCAGAGGGGAGTGTATGCACAGGGACTCTGCTGATGCCAGAAAAGAGATGAGTTTTATTAATTCTAGTTCTTCATCCATAACTCTTCTCATTGGATCCCTGATGGTATTACCTTATAATTACTGATTCATATGTCAGTTTCTCCAAGGATATCAGGTGTTCTTCAGGGTCCTAGTGTATGTACACCTCAGTAAATCCCTGCTAATCTGGGAAGAGCTCTGATGACTGAAGGAGCTAATTCAAATCTTCGGTTCGCTGATTTCTTGGGAAATGCTATGATTTCAATGTGAGTTTGGGTCGTTTTTATCACCATCATTTTTCTTGGTGAACAGGAATAATACTGCTATTTGGTCATTTTCCCTCGAGTTTCTATTTTGAAATCGGAATAACTCTGGAAGGATTTGTCTAGGTGGGCTACTGATGTGCTAGCTTTGGTTAGTCATTAGAATGAATATATTTGCAAATAGCGAATAGCAAATAGATTCCAAATAGCTGTGTATTCAGCAATATTTAATTGCAGATAGGTCCATTTGCACTTTTCCTGCTGTGGAGTGCCACAGAAGGTATGCTTTGGGAAATTTTGTTTTCAAACTCCACAAAATTTAGTAATTTCATTTATTTATGCTAGTTACTGGTGATATAGTCATGAGTATGGTAGTGTTTTTGATCAGATACAGCCATGTATAACACCAATAGGAATTTTTAAATTTAAAAAATCTCATTTTATCTGTATGAATGTTTTGCCTGCATGTATGTTAGTAGACCCACGCATGCAGTCCCTGAAGAAGTCAGAAGAGTATTGGATCCCCTTGAACTGGAGTTACAAAGAGCTGGTAGCTGCCGTATCGGTTCTGGGAAATGAATACAGGTCTTCTGCAAGAGCATCAAGTGCTCTTAACCACTGAGTCATCTCTTCAGCCCCTGATATCTTTGATTAGAAGCTCAAAGCAAATGAACATTGACAATGCATTATGAGAATATGGTCTTTGGAATTATTGAAAATAGTTTCCTCTTCTTCATGAGTACTTTAGAGTTATAACTCTTAGGATTTGGGAGAAATCAAAGATTAGACATTGCTGTTGTAAGATCTTAAGAACTAAGTAGATGACTGTTGGAGACTCTTGGAGATCCTAAGTCAAAAATGCTAACACTAACCTCGGAGCTTCAGAAAGTAAATGTCTCTTCTGCTGTGGGATTCGGAACTTCTGGCTTCATGGATTCCCTTTGTTATTTACTTAAAAGTGGTTGCATCCCCTAGCAGGGCAGACACTTTTTGGAAGAGTTATGCATAATGATCTGCTTTTTTGCAGTAACTTCTCAGCCACAGAGGTGGGCTTCCGGTGGCTGATTTTGAATTCTTTAAGCCTATTCTAGTCCCTACTAACTGATTTCAGGTAGACTGAAATACCAGCAGGGACAGACAGAAATTTTTTTCTGAGATTCTAAAATCTGTCAGAGGGAGATACAGAACTGGTCAACATTACTAGTAAGTCATGTGAATGGTATTACTTCAGAAAGTACTTTGTGACCTTCAGTTGCTAAGATCCTTGGAATTGCCCTTCTAAGGCTTTACTTACTCAAAATTGACTCTGAAACGGTCCTAATGATTATTAGAAAATCATTATTCCCCATACCCTCATATTTTTTAGATTTTTTTTTGTTTGGGATTGTTCTATGATTTGCTTGCAGTCAAAAAGAAAAACCCATTAACTAGTATCCTCAGCCAACATTTATTGAGTCTCCAACCCTGTTCACCAAAGCTAATGTAATAAATAGTTTCAGACAGAAGCTGATGTAATAAATAGACTCACCCAGAAGCATCCAGAACATTGGGATCTTAAAATTTATAATAGTCTATTCATTCCAAATATTTGATTTTTTATAACACTTGGATATATTTTTTAAAATCTCCAAAGATTAACTTGATAATGACTTATTTCACAGTAAAAATATGGACAGTTGCCTATGAAATTAGAACACTCGTAGTTATATAACCCAAACTGCAAATAGGTAAAGCTGTTTTGATATTAATTTTTATATTTTATCTCTCAGAGAATAGTGAAATTCATAGTGAGGTGTTTTTAAGAGAATATCTCAATGGTCTCAAATCCTCCCAGGACTGAACCAGGTTATAAATAAGCTAACACATTCTTATATAATAAATGAATAATCTCTCTTATCTTTGTGCATTCTTTTAGTTCAATTGACTGTCTTCTACTTTTCTGCTGTCCTAGTCTTGCTCTTTGGTGTTCTGCTCTACACTGGTTTAACTGGGCTTTATCACTTCATGTGAAAATGTCTTTGTCTTCATTTGTGCATTTGCCTCATATTGCAGAGTACTTTTCATGGGTTTGGTAAATGTCTTCTATATCTAAATTGCTTTGGAAATTCCTGTCATCAATTACATACTGTTTTTAAAATGGTTTCTAACACTATGCAGTCTTTGCCTGGATATTCATTTCTCTCTCTCTCTCTCTCTCTCTCTCTCTCTCTTCCCTCCCTCCCTCCCTGCTTCTCTCTCTCTCTCATACTCTGATTTGTTCCCCCAAATGTCCTTCAGTGCCTTCAGTGGATGGAACTCCATCCATTAGAGCCTGGTTGACCTGTCAAACATCCCATCCTTGAAAGAGACTGTCTCTGCTCCTCCCAGGAGTCATTGGTGTCACAATTTCCTAGTTTGGGTTGGAATTTTTACCCACTTCCTCGTATAAATGCAGGGATTTTGTCTTGTTTGACTTGCATTGGACTTGTGCATGCTGTCATCTTTGCATTGGGTTCATGAGTAACTGAGCATCTGTCTGAAAGACTCTGCTTCCTGTGGTCCTCTACCACCTCTGGTTCTTGATCCTTCTGCCCTGCCCCCTCTTCCACAATGATTCCTGAGCCTTAGGAGGCAGAAAGTTGATACAGCAGCCTCTCATTCTTTGCAAATTAGCCAGTGGTGGGTTTCTGTGTTCATCAGTATCTGTTGCATAAGAAAACTTCTCTCCTGAGAGTTGAGAGATGCATTCATCTATGCATCTGTGGGTATAAAAACAAGTCATTAGGAGTCAGTTTAATATGATAGCTATTAGGAGAAAATTAGTATCAACTTCTCCCCTTATGTTCTGTGACCAGTCTAACCTCAGGTTCCTAAGATTGATATCAAT